AGTTAACGCATTTCTGACTTGTTTCTGTTTTAGATTCCGTGCATTTTGAATAGTGGTGGTTACCTAAATACCTTACGCATCTCGGAGCGCAGTTACCTTGAGTGTAATCAAATCTTTGACAGTATTTACATTTAATTGGTAATTTCTGATTGAATCTAGGAAATACCTTAATAACTCTATAAAAACCTATTTAAGGCTAAAGTTCTTCTTCCCTTGTTATTGTCCTCTAACTCTACAGCACACGTTGTTAATGGTTTTCTGTCTTTTCCGTGAAGGCAAACTATTTTGATTACTGGGTATTTTTCTCACTAGTTCTTGGAAGATTTCTATTTCACTATATAATGAGCGAATATCTTTTATTACAATTGAAAATGTTTTCATGCTTGGGTCATGAAACGTGTGATGTTCTACGCTGTTTTTATTGCAGATCTCTGAAATCTTCTATTGAATAAAGTTTAATTTTCACTCTGCATGTATTTTTGTTGTGAAATCTTCTTTAAATACACTTTTAATGTCATTTATTAATAGTTGAAAATTTTACGCTTTGTGTATTATTATAGGAAGAATTTTAATCACTGTGTCCGCGGAACTTATATGTTTTTCTTCTTCTGTTTCGTTGTCTAATGTTTCGAACCTGTTTCCTGTAGGGATAGCATATCCTGAAACATCCAGTTTTTTTGTTCATTTGGTCTCACTTTGTTCTGTTGGAGCAGGTGCACTGTGTTGCAAGGGCGGCCAACTAGAGCGTTGGCTGTTTTGTACTTGCGTTTGAAGGTCCTGTAGTTGTTGTTGCAATTGTACCAGTTGTTGATGCTGTTCCTGAAGTTGATGCTGCTGCGCCTGTATTTGCAGATTTTGCTGATCTATGATAAGCTGTTCTTGGTACTCCAATGAATATTGCATGACGTCGGACGTAGTGGTTGTTCACGGCCTGCATAGCTTCTTTAATGCTCTGTCCGAGGTCAGAGCAAGGTAAATCATTTTTATCTATATTCATTATTGGTTAAAGAGATAGAATTACTTTCAAAAACACTGTGGTCACTTCACGAGCACTCGCAACTCACTGAGTGCTCAGCTTGACGCCGACTGAACAAACAAGGTAGCGCTGCCGTCACAACCTCTCGCCACCGCTGTTAGCGCTGAACTTGTAACTAATGCATGATTTCTTTTTGCGAAGTGTGCACGGAGAAAAAAGCGAACCTGCTGTCTCCACGGAATATTTTATGTAATATTCAATGTTATTAGAGTATTTCCCTTTTCTGTTATTATAAAAGCGAATCATAATGTCGGTACCATTATCCAAAAAGTATTATTGTTTTTTGGACAACAGAACAATTTTCGTTACAAATGTATAATAAACACTCAAATAAATGCACAGAACTGTTGTAGCCATTTTCACAGTGTATGTGATTTAATCCTAGATTAGAACGGCGACGTGTATCAAGCGTTATTACGAAGGCGAAGTCTGACGGACTATTTTGGGTAAAAATAAAGAAAAACTCATTCTTACAATGAAACACTAAATTTCATGAAGTAACAAAATGTATTTTAATTAGTTTATAGATAAACATAAATAAGTTTACTCCCTGAATACACTCACTTGGTGCTGTGCACACGTGTCTTTTGAGAATTGTCCGCAGTAGTACGTCGTCATGCGACCTTTGTTATAATAGCCGTCGTCCCATTATGATTGCTAAATGTTCAGAACAAAACTTAAATGCTGCAATACAATGTATTCATTATTTATTTTTGCATTCATTATTCACAATATTAGGAAATATAGCGCCCAAAAACTGACGTAATTACGAAGACCTAGTCTCCTGGACGACGCGTGTTGGCGCACACCGGAAATAGGCACCCGCACAAGGTTCAGTTGTGTCACAAGAGTATTTCCCTGGCTAACACACAATGAAGGTACCTAGAGCTTCAGAAACGGGGAGTGAGGGGAAGGGGTGGGGGAAGCTTTCGGCTTTAGTTGCCTCGTCTGACAGACAACGCCTTTGTAATCTGGTATTAAAATGTTAAAAATTGTTTTTTTAACAGCTCAGCAATCAAAAAATCTGAAAAAGTCATGTTTTGTGTCTTCAAAAGAACTGAGATTTTTCAAGCCTGTTTCAGGGTTCTAAGATAGTAAAAAACATTTTTTGTTAGTTAAAACAACTTTGTGTATGAATTTGGCGCTGAGAAAATATCAAAAAAATGTTTTTTGATAGTATAAATTATTTTGTTAATGGGGGGGGGGTGGACGGGGTCTAAGAAGTCTTTCAAAAATATTATGTTAATCTTAGAATTATAGTATAGCTACTCATATGTCATCTGGTTTAGAGGAGCTTTTTGCAGTCTGATGCGGGGGAACCCTTTGCCTCTTCCCCAATAAAACATCCGAAATCCCGCCTCTGTTGACATGGGTACTAGCACAAGTCCATTAAGAGTAGTATTCTCAGTTACTTCGAGTATTTTATTTCGTAGGTATTAGTATCATGCCGTGACATATAAGGGGAATCTTGTGATATTCCATTTTCTTTAATATGCCCATCATAGCGATTAGTTTTATCGAGAATCAAAAATATATCCTCAGTTGAATGTAGTTTGTAGAATTCAACTTGTTCTTTTGCATAAAATTGACTGAATAATTGCATCGACTCCAATGTTACCTACTGTAAATGGACAGTTTTTAAGTGAACGTCCAGTTACAAGTTGCCGCACCATTAGTTCATTTTGTTTATTATTTCTATTGTTTTATTCCTCTAAAATTCACAGAGACTCGAGTGTCTAGAGTTTCTGGTCCAAATCGACCAGAAAATATCTATTTTGAAGAAAGTTCTGTAAACGGTTTAGGAACTAGTGTTGTTCACTGATAAATGATAATGAAAAAAAATTCCCGGTTTCAGGAACATGCAAACTACTGGCGCGGATATCCTTGTTTTTGCAACACTTGCCATGATATCTTTCTGCTGACTTTGCCAAATGGCTTTTCTATATCTACAAAAAAAGTTGGATTTTATCGTAGTAATTCACTCGCCTTTTCCCCATTATTTTTCTTGAAATGAAGATTTTGTTCGTTAAATATAATGCTACTTGCTTAATAGGAAAAATTCCCTAATCTAATTACTGGGGATCATAGCAAGAATCTTGTAATCTAATTTTGATTGATTATTTCGTGTTTTCGGGCGCGTCAAAGGCTATGGTCATTGGTCCCGTAAGTATAGTACATTTTGTCACTACACGGCGATGATCTTCCTGATAGTGAGATCCGGCGCCGACATACATGCACGCTTGCGGGTTTTCACATTTAGGTGTCTTTTCCAGCGGAGCACCATCCCAACCGGTACAAGCTGAAAGCTCCCGACTGGTCTCTCGATATGTGATATAATATAGTGCATGTGAATGTACGTGTGTGTGGGTAAATAAGGGGTTAGGATAAGAGGATGGAAGAAAAGATCACGAGCAGGCCGTGGCCCGTTTGTTTGGGTACTGATTTGGCATTCAACTTGTGTTAATTCGAGGAACCACGGAAAACCAGAATTCTCGTCCTAACAGCGCCAAAAGGTGACCCTATGTGGCTAGAGTCGAACATCCTGCACTGTCGAGATTCGAACTTTAGTGTCTCCCGATGAGAGGCACTGTATCATCGGGAGTGACATCAGTTAATGCCCAGAGCCAACAAAGTATTTATTTCTGTCAAAAAATCGGTTTCTTTAATACCTAGTATCTATTTTGTTGAAAGATAAAGTAATGTAATGCTGCAGTCAACACAGCCGACTTTTGGACAGAAAAATTGTTTGTTGGTTTCTGATGGCGCAAGAGTGCATTTTGCTTGCTCTTATATGCATCAAAATACTTTATAGAATGTGTAGTCGTAATTTACATTTTGTGGGTCCTTAATTCCAAAAGGCAAATCTGAATTTACTCCACATCCGTGAACAATACTAGCGCCTAAACAATACTGAGATTTTTTTAGAATGAATATTCCGTGAGCGATTTGACGCATTTCACGGCCTCTGGAATGTTAAACCGATATTTTAATTTTGTTCATGAAAACCCTACGAGTTTTTGGAAAGTTTATGAAATATATCTGGAATTGTTTCTGTAAGTTTTTTTTCTCGAATAGCAAAGTACGCTTAAAATAGAGAAGGTTTGGTTTTCAGCCAAACCTCCAAATTTGCGAAGTTACAAAATGTGGAAATGTTTTCGATTCTCTATATTACTGGAGGTAGAGATTTTTCGTAATTATATATTTTATTAACAATTAAATTCTTTAAATTAAACAAACAAATAAACAATTTTTTCAATAACGTCTGATCCAATTTTCGAAAACAGGCGCATTTTTCTGTAGTTTTGAATGAATTAGCTTGAAACTAAAACAAAATCACTTAAATGGAGTCGCCTAATTATACGCCATAGATCTGAATTTCATTAATTCCTTAAAAGTTTCAATAATTGCAAAATGTGTACTTTGTTTTTGTCGGGAGCATTGTACAAATGGATACCCTCTGGTGTTCTAGGGAACATCGGCGATACCCCCTGTATTCTATTCTCAGCCCAGATGAATATTTGAACACTTTTGCGGATTTGTCTAGTATTATACTCTTTCGTAATCCAAATACTTGTAAAAGTGTGAGCAGTTGTACCAGTACAAGGTTCGATTAGCATCAGATAACTATTTTAAATTGTATTAGAGAAAGTCAGAATAATGATAGAAGTTCAAAAACTTTGAATTCGGTGAACCCCGAGCTCATGCTCAAGAAAGAAAGTTTAGAAAATGCTTACTAGTTTCAATTACTTTAATATCAAAACACATTTTATAGAGTCATGTTTATGACGAACGCCCGATAACGCTGTAGTTTTGAAGTTAATCCTATCCCGTAAGGGGACATAGTTCGACAGGTTATTCCGCAATGCGGTCGATTTAATTGCCGCTTCGTAATAGATTCCATTGCAATTTCCCCATTGATATTGCGCGTGGAAGAGAAGTGAGTTCTCTCCGAGATGCAGTCCCAATGCTGCACCCCTGCGTCGAACGCATTGTGTTCGTGGTGCGCGGTCGAAGTCACTCGCCAATCGACTGTTGCGTTCCGACACTTCCAGAAAAACTCGAGGCCTCAGGTTCGCTCTCCACAGGGGGCGTCGCGAAGCCCTTGCACGCGTCGGCGGCGGCGGCGGCGGCGGTGGCGGCGGCCGGGCGGGCCGGCGTGGGAGTGGGGCTGGAGCGAGGGTAGGCGGGGGCAGCGAGGGCCTTGCATCAGGCACCAAAGGGGCCGCGGTCGGGAGGGGAAGGGCAGCAGAGTAGGGCGAGGGGCAGAGGGAAGTGGGTGTGGGGACTGCCAAGGAGAACCAGGCCGGGAGGGGGAGCCCAAGGGACGGGGAGGGGGAGGGGCGCCCGAACTGCAGTAGGGTAGGGATCGGCATTGCGCATGCGTGGCGGTGGCGATGCACATGGTTCAGTAAAACTGCTTTCCCTCGCTGGCAGTAGCGCTGGGCCGGCGTGCGGAGGTAGAGGTAGCAGCGAGCTCTGCCTCACTTAGCCGGCGGAGCTGTGTTCCTGAGGCAGCGAAGCGAACGGCGCGCCAGCCGCCCGAGTAGACAGCGTACCAGTCTTAGCCAGTGCAGGTAGGACTTTTCGGCTTTCTTTTGCAAAATTGCTCTCAAATCATAAGCGAAATATCTCTTTGTTTTAAAAATTTATATTACGCAAAGTTCAAACATAACCTTATTTTAACGTGACGAAACAAAACTTCTATAACACTTATTATCGAGTTCATTCATCGCTATTAGAAAAATGTTACGCCGACATGCCTGAAATATAAGCAACGATAAATCGAAACAGTGAATAATACATGGGTGATTCGCGAATTATTTTCGTCGTGTTGTGTTATTTTGTCGCGGCGGCACGGTGCGCGAGCGCGTGGGCCGTGTCTATCGGCGGCGTTCGCCTCGCGGGGCAGCGGGCCACGGCCGCGGGCGCGCGCGTGCGAGCTAGTGCGGAGGCGAGGGCTGCGAAAATCCGCCACGCGCCCGCTCGCCCGCGCGCCACCGCGTGCCCACCGCGCCGAAGTGTCGATCTCCGAGGCAGTGCTTTGCCTTTTACTTTCGTCCTTTGCCGTCGCAACAATGGCCACACTTGCATGCGGTCGTTGATGATATTAGAAATTCTCTTTTATTCATATTAATGGGGTGTTTAGTTTACATGGAATTTCGTGATGCAGTCACGTAATTTGTTCTATTACTCACATCCACTCTAACTTAAGTAATTGTTGAATTTGAACGTTAAATCGAAAATTCGGAGTCAAGAATGTTCCTCACCAAAAATATAACGGACATAAATTGGCACGAATACAACTTACTACTAGCAAATATAAAAGAAACACGAGGACGACCTAACGAATAGGGTGACCAACAAAGGCTTGCGGCGTCCACGCAGTCACGCAAAGTAGCCCCCAAATTGTAGTGTGTCCAGTGGGCGATCGATGAGGCCCTCTGCTCCCTCGCCGCAAATTTCGAGGCCGCCGCGCGCGCACCGCCCGCCCGCCCGCCCGCCCGCCCCCCCGCCCGCCCGCCCGCCCGCCCGCCCCCCCCGCCCGGCCCGCCCGCCGCCCGCGCCGCCCGCCCACCCGTTTTGCTCACCCCACCCCGCCAACCCACCCACCCACCCACCCACCCTCTCGGCGGTTGCCCCACCTGCCTCTCCCACTCGTTCATTTGCCTTACTTGCTCACTTGGCCGTCCGCTTGTCCGCCTGTCTGTCGGCACGTCCTCCCGCAAGTTTTCACCCTTGCCTAAGTGCCCGTCCGCCTACCCGCCTTCTCGTCCTTCCGTTCATAGCCCGCCGGTCCCTTGTCCTTGTCGGAGCGGATGACGCGCTAGACAGGCCATTGTTGCGGCGTGCTCCGGGCAGTAAACGAGTTTCGCGAGAGGCGACGGTCGCCACCTCCGCATTCCGCGCACATCTGCATAGAGCAAAGGAAGCCTACCGCGTCCCAACGCGCCACGGAAGCTTTGTCGGGTCGCCCGGCCCTCACGTGCCCATACGCTTCTCGTGACTGCCCGGCAGACGTCACCCGTCGTCGCGGGCGCCCTTCCCTTCCTCCACGCCCGCATCTCGCGGCTTCTGGACGGCGTGGAGATCGACGCAGCCACCCAATCCCCCTCCCGCGCCTGCCAACGTCCGGCTTCCCTCCACATCGTTCCGTCCGCATCCACCTTCCACGCTGCCTCTGCTCATTTCCCACCGCCTTCATTCGTTACTATTTAATGCAAGCACTTTCGAAGCCCCCTAGTTGCTACCTCCCTTATCGTTTGTTTATATTCTGCTTCCCTCTTGTGCTGCCTCAGATATCACTCCACTTTCTAACGTTCTCCAGTATTCTCAACTTCTGTCCTTCAATGAAATCCCAAAATAATTTTTCACTATTCTGTACTAGCTGCTTCAAAATATTACATCTCAATATTTTGTAATAATTGTCTCATCAGAATTCTGCTTAATGTTCAATTCATTGTGTTGGACTGGATCTGCCACTGTACATCGTTGCCTGTGTACCAGCATTTTTCACTTTTTTTGCCATTCCCTCAGCATTTTTCAAACAATTCCACTATTGTATAGTTTAAAATATGTTTTTTTGAATTCTGCTCCCTATGAGAATGCTCACACGGTCATCATCTGTGGATTGTGTGAGGCTTCAAAGTGAAGAATCTGTGTAACGACTATGTTTTATTATGTTCAATTTCGTTGTAACTCTTAAAAACATGTCCCACATAGATTCTTTTTTTAAACAAATTGAATCTTATTTGTCTCTTTTACAGGAATTACAAACACACATATCACACTATTTGTATTTGCCATTTCAAAAGTAAAGGGGTATACTGTTTCACTCACATACTATAATATAGGGAACTACTGTTTCTGAATATTTAGTTGAACATGCCTGGCAGATAATTGTGTGCAAGAATAGTAGTGGATTAAAAATGTCACCAAAAGATACGTAATATCTACGATTGCGTTTTGAAGGGATTTTGCAATAAGTGGCGTAACTTTCATGGTTCATTTAGAAACCGAGGGTTTCTGCTGAATTATCACTAATATTGGTTACTTTCAAACAAATTAAAACGTTCTCAACAATCAGTAGCTATGTAAACATTTCTGAACATTTCTTGTAATCGTTGGAATCTTCGTTTCTTGTTTTTTACTCTGCGTTAACAGTTCTTTATAATGAAAATATATTGTGCTCGGATTCTGTTAGTAGTCATGCAAATTCAATAGTAGGTTTATTTTCGGGATTTGAAAATATAGTTATGGAGCAATGTCAGTCATTTCGAGGTATCGGGTTTGCGTCTTGCGATCTTTTCCTGAGATGGTGATTTTGTTAAGGTAAGTACTGGAGTAGTTGTGAATGTGTTGAGTTAGTCCTTTCCTAGTATCCTTTCAGTTTCTTTTCACTCGGAATATATTCTACTTGATGTTGTCCTTTCCTATACTGCGCCTTATATTTCATGCTGAAAATACTATACTTAGCAAAGAATGTGTTTTACATTTTAGTTTGTCGGAAGTGAGTGATATTTAATTGTTACTTTTGTATTTTAAAGAGAGTACTTTTGTAAAAATTCCTTTGCTTGTATATTGTTAATAGAATTTTCTTTTGCCTCCACACAAATAGATATTAGTTTTTCAACTTTCTCTTAATGTTTCGAATGTTGTGAAAAGAGTTTGAACCGACACTTTTAAAAGATAATAAATGTAAATTATTATATAAATCCATGTGCAGATGGCACAGAATGTTGACAAAAGTAAATAATATCCAAAAGCATCAAAATATGTTATCAGAATCACTCATTTCAATTTTACAATTTCATTTTTCATTTACAGTTTGTATTGTATCATGGCTTGGAACACTCACAATTTTGTAATGTAGATAGTTTAGTCAGGACCGGATTTATATGGAGATTAGTCCCGGTTATCAGGGCGGTCTTAGAAAAGAAGTCCTTAATGTAAAACTGATATTTACTAACACAATAATTCATGAAAACACGTTAATTGATCGAATTTAGCGTTAATTGATCCTGGGGAAAACTTATGAAGTAGTACTAGATACAATATTGCTAACATCACTTATGGCCGAAAACAATAGATATTGCTGCATGTTCCACACTACTCGTCGTGCAAAGAACATCAATATCTTTAACAAAAATTTATGCTTCTTAATATTTTTCAATAAATTGAGATGCAAACTCTATTCTAATGGTTTATTTGAATTTAATCTCTTTGTCATAACAATCAATTCTAAATCAAAAATAAAGATAGACATTGATGTTCGATGTGGAGTAATTATTATTGAAGATTAGTGAGCAAATAGAAATAGCCCTTATCTGAAATAGTATGCGCCACACTGAAAATATTCAGCAATTAGCTAAACATGAGAGCTTCTCTTCGAAAAGGCTGCATTTTTTTCGAAGAAAATTATGTATTGGCGACTTTGGACTCGAGGAAATGAGAATGTGCTAGTATTCTGTTAGTTATGATAATGCGTTCTGGATAATACGAATTAATTTCCTAAACGTTGGTTTATAAGCAGCAAAGCAATTTCTTTTGAATTGTCAGACTCGAATCTGATACTTGGAAAAATGAAATGGAGTTTTAAATGTTTAAGGAAGCACAGATTGTTCTCAGTTGTGTCTTTAAAATGACAGAGCTGCCATACCTTTATAAATGTCGCTCCATTTCCTCTGAATTCCGTACGCGAGCAACCATTCATCTTTCTCTCCCGATGCGACTTGATATTGTGAAGCGGGAAACCAATTAAAAATTTTTCTCAGGTGAATTTTGTATGCTTAATAATCGGCAGCCGAACGACGCCCTTGAAGGCAGAGGCGAAAGACTTTTTTGCACCACAATACTTTAAGAGAAGAATTGGACTTCAGTAAAAAAGTTTTACAACGGATTTATATTCCTTGACGGCGGCATAATACATTTAGAGAATTACGAGATTCCGGTTTTAATTGTTGTAACTGTTCTTACCCTTGCTATAACTTTATCAGTAGGGAGAGGAAAGGAAGGAAAATAAACTAGAAAAGAGATAAAGGACGGAGGTGAGACAGGAAGAAAGAGAGAAAGAGAGAAAGAGAGAAAGAGAGAGAGAGAGAGAGAGAGAGAGAGAGAGAGAGAGAGAGAGAGAGAGAGAGAGAGGTAGTTTGGTGGAATGAATAAATGAACGAGAAGGAAGC